ATCCCAAAGCCCAGGCCACATTCAGACCAGATGATTCAGAATTTCTGGGTGAGAGCCAGGCATCCATATTTTTAAAGCTCCCTAGGTGTTTCCAGTGTGCAGTCAAGGTTAAGAAACACAGATCTATGTGAGCAATGTGTTTGTTGCTTTGTTAGCAGCTCATTCCCCCCCATCCCAGAGGACCCATCAGCCACCGGTTTGAATGGGAGGTAGGTTTTTGTGATTCTCTTCTCAAGGAGATGCTTATAAATAGTATGGATTTTTGTTTCTGAGATCCCTGTCCAATGCCCAGAAGTAGTCCTATTAGACATAGAAGAGACTGGGGTCCTGTGTTTCCAGAATACTCCAAATTCAGTCTGGTTCCCAGCACCCCCAACCACAGAAGATAAATGACATTAAAATTGCTAGATATGATCAGAGCCAGGCAAGAGTTTTGTGATGATTAATTTTATATGTCAACTTGACTGGGACACAAGGTACCCAAACATTATCCTCAGTGTTTCTGTGAAGGGGCTTTTGGATGAAATTAATGTTTACATTAATAGACTGAGTAAAGCAGATTACCTTCCCTAATGTGGGTGACCCTCATCCAATTAGTTGAAGCCCTAAAGAGAACACAAAGAAAGAATTCCTCCTGCCTGCCTGTTTTCTAACTGGCACATAAGCTTTTTCCTGCCTCCAGACTGCAACCGAAACATCAGGTTTTCCTGGATCCAGAGCCTAGCAACCTGTTGGCCTGTTGCACTGTATCTACACTATCAGTTCTTCTGATTGTCAGATTGACAATGAGGTACCATTGGACTTGGATTAAAATTACACATCAGCTTTCCTGGGTCTCCATCCTGCAGTCTCACCCTGCAGACACTGGAACTTGTCAGCCTGAGCCAATTCCATAGATAGGTAGGTAGATAGTTAAATGTATATCAATGCGTGTATATATATGTATATATGTGTATACAATATTCCTCCGTAATCTGTAGGGGATGTATTTCAAGACTCCCAGTGGATGCCTGAAACTGCAGATAGTATCAAGTTCTATATATACTATGCTTTTTTCCTTTATATACATAACTGCAATAATGTTTAATTTATAAATTAGGCACAGGAAGGGATTAACAATAATAACATAGTACAATTATAATATCCTGTATTGCTGGGGTCCAGCCCCAGCAGGTCCAGGGGTCCCCAAAGGTGTGGACGGAGTCGGCGAAGAAGGAATGACACAGAGACAGCATTCAGTTGATCAGCAGCCTTGCCAGGATCTCTAGCCACAATCTCCAGCCAAGTTCTGTGTCCGTTTTCTCTTGCTAGGTTCTCCAGCCAGGTTCTCCATGTTCCCCAGCCAGGTTCTCTCGCCAGGTTCTGTGTTTTATTGTCTTGTTACATCTGTATTTATACTAGTTGATTTTAATCCTATCCATTCTATCCCAAAGGTTAGGGCGTTTCTTATCTCCATTCCAAGGTTACACTATTGTTCTATTAAGCTAAAAAAAAGGAACTGC